CGAGGGACAATCGCAATTTTTCATCACATCAAATTAATTAGGTATTCATTCGTGAATAACAGAGTTGTTATTTATCGTACTCTGGTCAGTAATCGTCATAAATTCGTTGACTGGGGGAACGGAGCTGGATGGAAGAAGTGAAGTGCCTTAAAGGCTGTTTATTTCCGTCAAGATCCAGGGAATTTATTGCGATCCATTGTGCAAGTTGTTGCGTTGCGTTCACGCTGACGGAGGTGGTCAACTAAGGTCGAACACTGTAAAGCTTGAAGGCTGTGGCAGCTTCTTACCCGTGCATGAATAGGTCCTGTATTCATGACAGTTTTAAACAAAAATCTAGTTTAGCAAATGATTCTTGAAACCGGATTATCAAGCTTATTTCTAATAAGTTCTAATTTATCGCCAAGTAATTGTTATTATTCTCGTACGTTGAGTCGTGCTGAAGTTAATACTTAGTTAGTGGATATATGAGGCAGTTCAGCTTATGTATCACCATTGACACTTTGCTTGCAGAGAGAACACCAGCTTCTAGCTGAAGCGCTCCTGGAATACGAAACGCTGTCAGCAGAGGAGGTTAAGCAGGTCATAGCCGGAAAGAAGATAAAGGTGAATATTCGAATAGTGTTTGAGTAGCTTTTCGTATTATCTAGTTCGTCTGTTACTGCATTGGTTGAACAATACTTGAATCATTAAGCGTCCAAATCCAGCAGAGGTGCGCAGAAGCACCGACAGTCTCCACCACAATCCGCTTGTCCGTATTCACATATTCGAAGAGGGCAGGAAATAAGTTTTGTACCTCTACCACCTCTATATATTCTTGTATAGTTTTTGCATAGTGACTTCTCCTCAGCCTCTTCGTTTGACGACTTTTTATTCCTATTTTGAATCATCTTGCGTCGAGATTGTGTGTCCACGTGTAGTTTACGACTTTAGATCCTCTCAGAGTATTTTCGACGCTACTTCAGTCAGTATAGGATTAATAGCGTGTCGTTGTCGTTCCGAGAACTGGTTAATTGTTTACAAGTTGTTACTCTTGGTTTGTCCAATCGGAGTTTGTTCAGGATGTTTGTTGTTGGTTGTTGTTATTTTGAGTGTAAGAGCCTCATTCACTCTTTAGATGGAAATTGAAATACGGTTAGGTTGATATGGATAGCGGTTAAAGGGTTGCCTCTACAAAATCAATTTGGACCACCAGAGATTTCAACACCGATTTCAGTGATAATAGCTAATGTATTTTCAGAGATGTTTTCTGGATGTCATGGTAGCGAACGCGTTTCTTTTTTTATTTCTCTTTTCGACTATTTTTGTAACCGAACCCCTGCTCAGATTTCTTTGACTCTGTTTTTGGTTATGTCCTCTTCATGATATCCTTGGCTAATCATCTGTGATTCATAGGAAGTTCACGCTTTCCACTCCCGCTAGTTTTGAACTACTGCTCTTGATTGATAATATTCGAATAACATTACTACAAATGTACTGAAGTAAATATTGATTTACCCATTTCTAATCAAAGTAATGTGTTATATTCCACGAAAGAGTGCTTCCGTAGCAATACTGTCAAAAAAGATGCTTTAGCCGGTTGATTTGGTGAGAATAGGTTTATACCCTTTTGGTCGCATCAAAAGGGGAGTGTTGACAGCCTGTCTGCGAGTTCCATCAAGGTACGTGCTTTTTTATATGTTAGGAGTCTACGTTTCAGGTTTTGACTGGCCATGAAAGGGTCGATTTCCGAAGAAGCAAAGTTTTTAGGCAACGATTTTGTGGTTAAACATTTTGCTCGTCGAGGAATGCAGTTGTTTGCCTCTTCCACCTCTCATGATTGAGAGCCTCGTGTGTTTACCCATCAGGTACTGGCGAATTACACGAACCTTTTATCTCAAAGTTTCACTTGATGCACTTTATGGTCACTGAGAACCATGGTATTTCGGGTATCAGAACCTCCTATACTACCCTTGCACGAGCTGTCCAATTGATTTGTCTTTTTTGTTGGAATTTTAATCGGGTTAAAGCGATAACATGAATGAACTTCAAATTTGTAATCTAATTTTTCTGGACAACCGGCATTGTAACCAGTAGGGGCAAAGATGATGGTAAAGAGAGAGTTGGACTCGTTTGGGGCATTCGTTGTAGCTTGTAGCTGGCTGGTGCTGCCTGATTTAAAAGGTGATGCGTTTTGGAGACAGCTGCTATTATGGCTAAAGCCAGCTTGGCTCATAGAATCAAGAAGGAAGTAAGAATAAGTCAAGACCCATTCCCTGTCTGACCCGTTCCGTGAAGTTTCGTCGTCCTCTACAGCGTATCAGGCACGTAGTCGAATTCTTATGTGAGGGGGCTGTCTGACGATATCGAAAAAAATCTCAGGCCGGGAAGTTCTCCGGTTTTCTCCAGCGATTCGATAACGTTCTCATGAGGAAACGTGGGAGAATGAAGAGTGGACTTGCGTGTTACGTCCTACTTCTGATCATATTTCCCCAAAAAAACTTTCCCTCTTTTTGGGGTATTGCTCGACCCAACACATTCCGAAATCCTTCATTTTGCCCGTTGAGGAGCCCTAATATACACCGTTCACCATGACCTTTTTTGTCCGCAATGGGTGCATCGTGAAGCATGCGGCCGCAACTCCTCTCCCATAGCGCAAACTCGCAGTTTCATTTCATTTCATTTCATTTATTGACGCAGACAAAGTCCACGTGAGCTACAATCTACAACAAGTGAAGCATCCAGTAACACAACTCTCGCAAGTGTCATAACAGAAATAACTATAACAACTGGAATGTAGAAAAAAAAAGCAAACATGTTTGAGCAGTTTGAGCAGTTTCACACTTCGATTTTGAATTACCTTACACAAAGCTTCTAATAGCTCATAAAAGTCGTCCCAATAAAAATGATGAATGATCTGAGTTGGTCCCTTCGATCAATCTTTATTTGCTTGAAACGAAGATTCAAATGAGAATAACCTCTCATTAAAGATCTTCTGCATTTAATTTCGAGGTTTGGCACTGGAGTGAATGGGTGGAGGGAGGGAGAGAAGGGTGGGTAGGGAGAATTCGTGCATTGCGTTGTAGACTGATGCATGAATCTTACTCAAGGCTGACTGCGCTCGGCGCTGGCGTCGCGCAAAGTCTGAACACAGAAACATTGCGGAATGGTTTGATACTGGCATTTGTTGTGCATTTATGCCGCACGTGAATGATTCGCATCTTTGCCTAACTATGCTTATCTTCAGTTTTTAGCAGATTTTACCCAATCTTTAAACCTTTTCCA